GCTGCAATGGAATCGAGGAGTTAGCGTAGGATTCTTGGTGGGTTACTATGCAGTTTGCAGCATTAAATTATGTGCGTAAGAACCTTCCAAGCATTACCTACACCGGCGTTTTTCCTGTGGTTCTATGTTCACAGGTTCTATATGATAACAGTGCCGTTAAGACGGCATGTTCCCACTCTACTCATTTTAATCTGACTGCCTGTATTACCACCTTAAGAAACAAATTAAACCGCTTGATCATACCGTTAGCTGCAAGATAGTAGGAGGCAGTCCGAATGTTTTACATTATGATGTTGGAGAAAAAGTTTCAAAATCGAAACTACAGAACCGTTGGGAACTGTTGTGACCACTTCCTCTAGTAATCCGATGCGAATGAACAGACGTTTGAGCCATCGCAACACTGCCGAAGAGATCATTTGGTCACATATATGAACCTCAGGCCATCTGCTGTAAAAACACGTCACACCAAATCGGTTTTTCTTACTCAATAAAGCAGTGGTGAAGGGACCCTTAATGTCAGTGGCAATTTTGGTCCACAGCCTCATCGGGTATGATATCGGTTGTATGTGCACCTCAACAGGTAGAGAACTTTTATCCACCAACCTGCAAGCGTGACAGCTTCTCACAACCGTTTCAATACCTGATGACATTCGTAGCCACCAAAAGGAGTGCCGGATTTTATGTTTGGTTCGGCCAATATCCGGATGACCCTCAGCGGCACACACAATTATTTCGTTATTCAAAAACGATGGAGTTACAAATACTGGACCTGGCATTAGGCAACCATCTACGACTGAGTCCGTCTCGAATTGCTTAGTATGGAAGGAGCTCGCAGGAAATTTTGTTGTTCTTCGGCCATCCCTGCTGAAGGTAATCCACGAGTTGCTGCAGCGTCTCGTCACTCGCATTTTCGATTTGTAGTTCATTGCTCGCCAGTGTAGACAAATCAGCTCCAGGACTAGACACCATTGCCGCCTCTCTGCGTGCTTCTTTTCCATCCTCTAGTTCCAAAGGAAAGCGGGATAATCCATCCGCGCTCTGATTCTTCCGTCCTGGCCGGTTCACGGTTTGGTAATGGTAGCTGAAATGTCTGGCATACCAAGGATTGATTCGCATCGAACGGAATCCTTCAGACCCATTCCTGAGGAGGGTGGTGAGAGCTGGGTGGTCAGTTCGTAGATTGAAACGACGAGCAAACAGGTAAAGGTGTCATTTTTCACAAGCCCACACACAAGCAAAAGCTTCTGTCTCCCCTAAGGAATAATGTCGCTCAGAACCTGAGAGTTTCCGTGATGCGTAAGCAATAACTTTCTTCTCTCTGTGTCAGACGCATCAATCGACACAATAGTACGGCATCGTACAACAAAAATGGCAACTAAGGGAGTAGATGTAATCCTTCATTTCAGTACGTCGAAAGCGTTTTGCTGATCGTTTCCTTAAGTGAACGACCCTCCTATGTTTATTAGTTGTTATAATGAATCTGCTAGGGTCGCAGATTGTAAAAGCACATTTCCAAAAAGTACTTCAGTTCTGTCACTTTCTTGGGTACTGGTGCTACTATGATGGGCCAGATGTTTTCAAAATTTAAGCGAATGCTGCTACGTATGACGATATATCCCAGAAACTGGACCTCTGAGACATTGAAGAGACATTATTTGCATCCAGACACCAGTCAGGATCACTGAGACGCTGAAAGACTTGGTGTAACCTTTCGTCATGATCTTCTTGTGAGCGGCCGAAAACATATATCGTCCATGTACGCAACTTCTCATCCAAAAAGCCGCCAAGGTGTGGGTCCTTAACTTTTGCTAGGTAGTGGGAGCAGAACTCAAACCCATTGGCAACACTTTGTGCTGAAATAGGCCATTGGGAGCAAGAAAGGCAGTTAAATACTTCGAATCGTTCGCCAATGGCATGTGGAAGATGCACTATTCAAATCTTGCCTGGAAAATTATAGTTGCACTAGCTAAACGTACAGTGAGTTTTTCGTTGGATGGCAACATGAATCAATCTACGACGATCTACTTAGTTAGTCTCTATTGAATCGTTGCATATCCTGACAGTGCCATCTTTCTTCAGGACACTTACAATTGGATGCACCCACTCAGGGCAGTCCATGGGTTCAATCAAATCCTTTGCTAGCATCTCTTGAAGGACCGCTGCTACAGCTTGACGTTTTTCTATCGGGAAAGGCCAAGGTTGATCAACGGCAACGGGTTTTGCGTCCTGCATTAGCTGAATGCGGTTCACACCACATGGGATACGTCCGATGGACTACTGAAAAAGCTTCGGATAACATTCATGCCAGTATGTCAAGTGGACGGAAGAGACAAGCATGTGCTCGACAGATGACACTACTTGCAAAGCCACCATGGCATTTCTTTCAAGCGAGGGTCGTCAGTTCTCTGATGAAATGTATAATGCAACATCCGCAGCTACCGAATGCACTTGTAAAGACACGATAATGAACCCCAATATTGTTAATTTCCACTGTAACTCCAAAATGAATGCGAAGTGGGCTACAAAGTAAAGTTGATAAGGCAATCTAGTAACTGGTATAGCAGAAACTAGCTCCGCTTCAATTGGAATAGCACATTTCATGATACGGAATGACACAGTAAGAATATTCTCGAAGGGAAGCTTTAGTTCAACTATGGATATTGTATAGTTCCTGAATGGTTGACATTGGCAATACTTGAATAACTGTGTTTTTCTGAGATAGCTCAGCAACATGGCCTTCAAGTGTAGCATTTTGGTTGGTTTGTGCAGTGGCCTGCGACCACGAACATCGGGCATAGGGCCCAGTTTTGTCACAGTTTTTGCGTTTGAAGCTGCTTGCGGGACCAGTGGCGAAATAGGCTTTGTAAGAAGTACTACCACAGCGATAGCAGGATGACTTGTCGGCTGGTAATTGTCGGACATGTTGCACCTCTGTCACCTCAACCAAGTTGGCCAGACAGAACTGTTTCGACTGATGTGAGATCTTAGTTTCACTCTGGCTAACTCACAAACTTGAACCCTTGCTAATGTGCATGCCTCTTGCTGCAACAGCCCCTCAGTATACCACTGTCAGCAATTCCAGAAATCTGTTGCTGAGTCAGCATACAGCTTTCGATCATTTTCTGGAGGAATAGACAGATAATTGCACGGTCGTATTACACGACTCAACCGAGCAATGAAACCTTTCAGGGGTTTATCAGTTTCCAATGAATGTGGGATAAAACGTACTTTGTATTAAACACATTCATTTGGTAATCCGAGGTACGATCAAAAGCAGTGAAAGCGTCTTTAACGGACTTGAATCCTTGAAGCCCAAAAGCATCGAACTACCGCTGCCCCTCATCAGCGAGTAAATGTCGAAGCAGCTTCAATCATCTTTCCTCACTAACATTAGAATGGAAATCGCTGATTCAATCCTAGCATTTTTGGAAGGATGTTTTCCAACGGAGCCAGGCATCTGATGTTGGTCTACTACCGTAATCGGTCAAAAATGGAAATAAGGGATGAATGAAAAGGTATTTCTTTGGACTCGGGACGCCAAATGCTATAGCAGAAAAACGCGAATGTACATGTATATATTGTAAGAGGTAGACGAAGAACGTACGACAGTTAGGAATGACACGGAAAATATCTTTAAAGTCGGCTGCTCGATCAATCAGCATTGGTCGAAATTCAAGCGAACAGCGTAACCTCAAGTTAGTGAATCTCAACACATGTGGCACGTAAATCCAATTTGAGGGCATGAATTATGCAGTTAAGAGTCGCACAGCTTAGGTAACGAAGTGCGGAGGGATGAGAGCAACATTCAATCACCTTTTGTGATTATCGAAAGTAGGGAAGTGGGCACTTGAGTTTTGGAGAGAGTTCCAAAGTTGGTAAGTCCGAAGAGAAAATTGATTTCGTAGACATTCTAGGCTGCTGCATCGTTCACTCAGTTTCCGACAGTTACATATGAGATTGACCTTGTGGCTATATTTCAGCAAAATGCGGCCTACCTGGTTGGGGTCACCCTGTATTTGAGGCGCGACTATGAGCACCGCGTAGCCATCGGTAGCCTCAGCTGAAAACTTCCGTTAACTTCAGCCTTGGCTAGCAAAAGAAATTACGCATACACTTGATATTCGTTGTTACCCTGCGTTGTGGTTTCTCTAGCACCTTAAGGTTGCTAAGTTTGTATGGTGTGTACATCATGTAGGCGCATATAAGAGTTGTGCATCACTTATAAGATTGATGGATCAAAACTCTTGAATGCGCTCAGCAACAGGCCGACGTCTTGGCTGCTTCTTTCGCAGCTGCCTCAGACTGTTCTGAACCGTTGAGATTACTCTATGCGAGTATAACAAGGTCGAACTCCTGGAAACTGTCCTACAAGCTGTGTGTCTTAAGTCGGTACATGAAATCATGCTTATGGCATAGTTGAACAACGTAACCTTTGTCTACATTGAATGGTATAAAAATATGTAATTACAAGAAAATGATCACACCAGATCATTTAAGAAACCAAGTATAGACCAGACCATGGCACAGAGCCTTGGGGTACAACACACTCCACCACAATTGCGTCGCATATGGATTTTAGAATTAAAGTTTAATTGACATTCATGTAAAAATTGCTATTTTGTCACAGGATCGAATCGCTGATGCTATAGTTCTGATGCTTGTGTCGAGAATTCGATGTCCTAAGCGAGCAAAAGCTTTGAAAAGTTCAAGTAGATGCCGTGGATGCCTGCTCCACCGTCAAATGCTTCAGTTTATCTATTGCGTGCAACTTACTGGTTCGTAGCACATGCGCGCTTTTAATAAAAGCCATGTTACGCCGGGGCTATGGAGCTATGCTTTTCCTGCTACTACATCGACACATCTGCGGTTATTGCCGTTGCATTCGTGTTGGTGGACTGTAGGTTGACTCGATAAAGCAAAATGCACGAATTGGATCAATGGGACAATCACCACAAAGTGTACTGGCTAAGGGACCAGTATGAGCTGAGAGCTCGGCTTACTTGCATCAGTGTACCAGCCAGGTTAAGCACTGTGGCATCTGCAGCAGCCAGTCGTCCAAGTTGTCTGGTTAAATGGTTGGTAAGCACCCCTTGGTAGGCTTCAAGTTCAGCCAGCAGACTTCGATCGGATAAAGCCTGCAGTAAAGACAGAGGGGCATTAGTCTTTGTCAAAGCAAACTATGGATATCTCTTGGTGCACAGTAAAGGCTAAACCAAATGTGTCAGGATAGTACGAACGAGTTCAGTCCTGTTGCCATGTAAGGTATGTAGGGAAAAGTTATCCAAGGTAGTCAGTGTAAATTCTCACCTATCCCAACCAGTATGCAACAAAAGGTATCAACTGTGGGCATTGGAGCTGTTACTATCTTCCATATTCGCCGTAAGGCCGTTATCCCCCGTTGTTCACATCCGAACGTCTGGCATTTGTGTTCGTGCCTAGTTCCGAACCCCACCTCAGAGAACAAGCATCACCTCAATTCTCCGGCACCTGCATTTGGACTCCTGAAGTGGATTATGCAAAAGCTTCTCCTTTGGGCTGGAGAGATTTGTAGATTTTTCACGGTGAGTTAGGTGACGTCACAAGCGTTTCACTGGCACCGTCATTGTACTCATACTTCTAAAATAGAGCTCCATTGAGTATAGGTAGCATCAGTCAGTAATTGCGACGAGGCAACTTCAGCAACCCAACAGAACCAACAACGCTATTCGCTGGGAGTGTGGTCCGGTGTAGTTGAACTGATTTGGCTCGTCCAGACTCAGTCTCCACACATCCAGAAAAGCGTCGCAAAACCGTTTCGCCAGTGAAGCAATTAACAACGAGCCCTCGCAAAAATGTGCAGCATCCTATACTACTATTTAATAATCAGTAGTCTCCTGTGCAACTTGCATCCCATCGATTGGCAGTCACTTGCGAGACGTTCCGGCGGGGAACGTACTTTGGACGTTCCCAGCGCGCATAGATGTGGAACATAAGCCGCGTCGCATCATAGCCAGTCAGGAGTAATGGTGGTCCACTGCGCCACCCATGACTCGGTGGCTAAAGTCGTAGTGAAGTCATGGGCTCGAATCTGGCGGGATTCGGCGAATTCGCACTACCAAGGACGAAGTGACTGTCTAGCGATTTTCCGGAAGTGAGGTGACTGGCAGAATTTGACTACGCTAAGTTGTCTCAACGATACTGTTCCCAATGATTAACAGCGGGCCTTTAACTGACACTCAGTCGGCTGACTACATGGCGGTCTGTTGGTGCTGTGTCACCAATCCAGCAGAATCGGTTCCCCATGTTTACTGGATAGTGACCCATTAACTGAACAGAACTGGCCGTCGAGGAACTCTTGCTATAGATTGACGCGAGACGTCAATATATAATCATTTAGCTGTTTATAACTTCCTGACTTTTATATCCGATTAATGCCCATCAAAGATTTTATTCATACGTAACTTTGTAAGATTTAGCACTCAGTTTATCGGGAAATATGTTCACCGTTCATTGGTACTATCGCACTCTGGGTTCCGGGTTACACAGTAATTAAATCGAAAAACCGATAAGACCGTGAGCTTTTCCTGCAAGATTTCCGATGGTGCTTGGCGTGTGACGTTGTGGATGGCAGATTAAAGCAGCCATAAAGAGCTACAAATTTCGAGCCCACCACCATAAGCTAGGGTTTGGCACTATTTGAGTCCACTTCGAGAATTGTAACAGATGCATCAATATGGAACACACCGTTAGATGTCTTGCCCATCCGGAATATCTTCTAAGCTTAAACACTTATTTAAAAACCAGTTAAAGTCCAGCAGGTTTGTATGAATATCGAGCCATTAACAGTTTATGTGAAAACGAATCAATAAACTCAGACTATGCGATCCATAGGATACCATCATAGTATCCAATGCAAATCAGAAGCTGTTCAGCTGTCATAGAGACTGCAGCTAAATCTCAATGTCCATTTGCCATGATGCATACTGCAGCCATTTGATCAACCCTCGAAATTCAGTGTCATACTTGACTTCACATTGCATTTAAACGTGACACTTTCTTGTGCATAGTAGCGATTTCTCTACTAAATCAACCCAGACTAGTTAGGACACGTCAAAGAATTCTGCCAGTAGTTAGAGAGCTTTTGATGCTACATACCTATGTAGACTTTGTGTCCATCGATATAAGTTGAGAGAAACTGCAGGTTTTTACGCAGCTGGTGTAAGTTCGGTTGCGGAGAGACCGCAACCTATTCTGGTCAGTTGAGGGAGGACACTCCAGCTTTTCTTCATCGATCTCTCGTTCCATTAGTACAGGACCTTGAAAATCAACCGATATTAACAATGTTCAGTAGGTTATCTTTAACGCCGATGGATGTGAGGTGTAGACGGTACCTGTCATCCAAATGGATAGCAGCCGTAGTGCTGTGTACCCCATTACAAGTTCCACTAAGACTCGGTTAGTCACCTACATATATTTGCGAGCAAGTTGTTTTTGGGGAGTACCGATGGTCCAGGTTATCAAACATGAGAACTTGGAGATAACGACGGAGGAGACGGACAAAATGAATACCCTGTCTCTAATGTCGATGTGATGACACCATCATTGTGCTATCAGGGTCAACACTGTCATGATCCTTTTCCCAACCGATGCAAGTTGGTCAGATGGAATTTATGCCATCATAAATTAGATACAGTACTTTTCCACCAATTTGCATGGCATGTGGCCAAAGTAGTACTGGATTTTGTAACCCGTCAGAAGCACCATTCCCGCTTTCGTCGACTGCGTTGCTTAAGTCCTTCAGGTTGCACAGGAATTAAAACCGGACGTTTCCATGGCACCCATAGCTCCTACGATTCAACTGTATATAATCGCTATCAATTGAACTTATTTTGCAAAACTATGTCACAGAGTAAGGAATGCCGGGATCACTACTGCGACGTACGGAAATTCTCGGTGGAGTAGATAGATGCAGTGGAAACGACCGGTTTTTATTTATGTGCAACATTCACAACATCGTTGGTGGAAACGGAAATACATGATGTGCCTGATGGGTCGCGAAATCCAGTTCTACATTGGCCACATGCCATGCAAATTGGGGAGCAAAGCACTGCATTTAATTTATGATGGCATAAATTCCATTTGATCAGCTTGCATTCATTAGGAGAAGGACCATAACAGTATTTACCTTGATGGCATAATGATGGTGTCATCACATCGATATTGGAGACGAGGTATTCACGTTGTCCGCCCCCCTCCGTCGTTATCTCCAAGTTCTCATATTTGATGCCTTGGACCATCGGTACTCCCCAAAAATAACTTGCTCGCAAATATACTTAGGTGACTCACTGAGGCTTGGTAGAATTTATACTGAGGTATACAGCCGCACAGTTGCTATTCATTTGGATGACAGGTACCGGTCACACCTCACATCCAGTGGTGCTAAAGATAACCCATTGAACACCGTTAATATCGGTTGATTCAAAAATTCCCGCCCTAATGGAGCAATACATCAATAAGGGATGCAACTCCCAACAGAAAAGGGCAACCGTCTCTCCGCTTTGCTTAATTGTACTGGTTAACCGAACGCACATCAGCCGTGTAGGAACCTACAGTTTCTATCAATTTAAATGGATTAGTGCGAAATATATTCAGGAATGTGACATCAAAAGCTCTCGGACTACTGGCCACTGAGTGTCAAACCATTGTAGATCTGACATCTCAAGTTAATTCTGCACTCTGAGCTTTGCTGGGACTGGGGCTTTAAAACTGGCTTCTTTACGTGGATACTACTGCATCAGGTATCGAATGAATACAATCAAACTCTGTATATCCAGCTCAGTGCATCATTTGGGCCTTCACATCTGGCGAAGCGAATGGACATTGGATTCGTCCTTGTGGGTCATATCGTTGGAGAGCTCGCACTGCTGCTTAGCGTGAGCATAAAGTGTCGCTCAAGAGTGAAGAGCATTTGCGACAGCCCTACGCTAAGTGTCATGGCTAACGCGGTGTATGCAAACGATTCAGCCGAACGATGGTGCTCACATTATGCTGAAGTGCACACTGGTTAGCACAATACAGCTAGTATCAGTGTTGTAGTTCCCGAAAATCTATCTACAATGGCATTGAGCAGATTTGGTGCCGAGGTCTAGGAACGGTACCTCGCAATCCCTTCTGTTGTTTTGCAACCCAATGGTGGTGATCGCAAAAATGTCCTTCACAAACGTTTGAACTTTTACTCAGTTACTCCACCTTTGTCTTCCGGTATCACGTGCAGGCATAATTTAATTCGTCACCCGGTCTCACTAGTCTACCGCCAATATCCCGTTCCCTATCTTTGACCGGACTGACATCAACGATTAATGTACCTTGTTTGAATCTCCTTTCTACTGCTTTACATTTTCGCTCTGTGGTGCTTCTTCGTGTAAGACTTCTCATCTACATGATCGCAGTCGCATCGCAATTCTCTAATGTCTTAGCTCTATATCTGATACCCCTACCCTTTTCTCGTCTATTCTTCTTGGCACGTCGTCATAGTGAAGTTCTGACGCAGTAATGCTCTGTAATCCCCAATGACATTTTTCTTTATAAATTACTTTGCTAGCACGGTTCCTAACCGTTAGCAAAATTTTACTAACGATACGTCATGCTGCCACTCATCGGTTCGCTTTGAGAAGTTTCTGATTACTGGGCACCAAACGTACGACTCAGTAATGGTGTTCGAATCGCATCTTCCCCAATGTTTTAAAGTACTTTTTCTCTACGTTCCTACAGTGTTGGTTTCAGCTCCACATATACTTTCAGTCTGTACTGCAAACTAAAGAGCTTCAAGAAATAGTGCCACACCAAGATATAGCTATGGTGGAAATACAAATTTAGCTGTTAGTGCATTCGGAACCGACAGGCCATCTCCCTAGAGAAGCACCTACATATGTATTTGCGCTTGCACCAATTGGTATACTTGGTAACAACTTTAATTTCGGCAATCTAACTAAATGATTTAGCGCTGGTGTTGCGGTGCTAATTATTGATCCCTGACACAGTTTTACCATCGTTTTATCCATCATCCTATAGTTGTATTCCTGACCATTCACCGTATACTTTCGGCTGTTTCCTTGATAAAATCCTACCTTGGAATATGGCGGTGGGTTGTGACGGTTTAGAAACATTTTTGAATGAGCTGCTGACTGGAAGACAACCCATATGACTAATTGGAAACCGAGGCTGGCCTCAACCTATGCTGTTCCTATGGGGTTGCCTTCGATGGATGTTGTTGTCGTCTTCAGTTCACAGTTATTCGCTGACAGCTTCGCAGAGCTTTTGCATGGATTTACACTGGAACATTTAGTAGCAAGCAAAAGGTCATGTGATAGTTTTCCAGGTTCACGGGAGGAAGTTGATCTCGGAAGTTAGTGCAAAGAACCGCAACTGCATTTGATATCAACACACCGTTGCCCTTACCACTATGCTTTAACCTTACTGGGAGTGTCCTTTTAAACTACCATCAGTCATGGCGGTCCACTGTCATCGCCCATGGCTCAGTGACATAAGTCGCTGACTCGCAAGAGTAAGGTCGTGGGTTCGAATCCGGCAGGATTCGGCGAGTGCGCGCTACTGACGAGTCCCAATAGGACGAAACGGCCATCTTGCGCTTTCCTAGATGTGTGGTGGCTGTCTGCATGTGTCTAACTGCGACGAACCTACACGAAAGCCAAAAAACCCCTACTACTTACAAACTACCATCATGTTTACTGTTCACAGTGTGATTTTAGAGAACCCACCATGTGTGACTAGAGTGCCACACCCAATCTCAAGTGAATCTTTGCCATTACGATCACTGGGATCGCATCTAAATTTCAGGGTTTCAGACCTGCTCTCTCCCAATACTGCACTCTACGATCTACCGGTTTCCTCCCTATCTGGACTCATCAGGTAGAGATAGTCTGAACTGAGAGTTAAACCAGACTCATGGGGGTTGACGGCTTACGCTTTAGTCACTGGGTCAAAACTCTGTAAGCAACGCTTTACACAGAGGTTAGAAGTAATTTGCTGAGCACTGGAGTACCCGCCGTGTGTCTGGATTGCTGCGCGTCACCTCAGTTTAGGCAACACTTTAATTTTAAGCAAACCGCATCCGGATTGGAAAGTTTTAGTGCCATATTCACAACACTGTAATGTAGAGAAAGGGTACCACTGAGACTCTCCACTATAATTATTGTCATTGTCAGTTGCATTATGAAAGCAGCTGAATTTCCCACTATGATAAGCCTCCTTATCAAAGACCATCCCTGGTGATGTCTAGAAATTTATGCTTGTCATTATGAAAACTAATATTAAGGTTGTATTACTGACATCCGATGTTATCGCACATTCCACTCGTTTGTAATGTGTCAGCGTGATAATGAACCGCTGAAAACGAGCTAGTTCGATAAATCTTGCGCCTGTGGTCAATGGATCTTATTTGCTGGAGCTTTCCAAAATGGTGACAGACTGCAGAATGAGAATTTGGATGAAATCCACTGGTGATTCTTGTTGGAATAAACGGCTGTAATTTGAACACTATCCGGAGAATGAAAACGGTGTGCGTATGTCTATGATGCGTAGCCATTTGTTCACCGTTACGGACAATGGTGAGCTGAAAATGCAATTCTATATGTGCAAATGATCCGGCCACTATGAATAGTGTGTGTGACATTTTCTATTGGAGTCAAAGACTTGAGAGAAAACATCAATGATTATTCATAACAGTAAATAGTTACTTGCTTGCCCGGAGATGGACGACACTGGTCGTTTTGATGTTGGTCTCTTCTGCGCTGATTGGCTACGCAGTTGTGCCCCGCATTGTACACTTGTTCAGGCTGTATCAGAGGTGACTTGGGTACGTGTCTAGAAGTTGTGTTCAACATCTGCTCCGTGTCCAAATACAACTGGTTGTTTGCAGGACCAGACCGATGGTATGCTCCCTGATGTCGATCGATTCTTGGGATTTGCATGGGATTCGTCATCCATGGCTCCTTGTCGGAACGGTGTTTCTCTGCTGACTGTGAAATGTAGTAGTTAACTATATAAATAAGAATGTGCACACACAACCCAACGCAATCCAATAATTTTTAGTGCATTATTCCAAAGTATTAGCTCACTCTAACGATTTAATACGCCCATACAATATGTGGTGTCTTTGAGGCTGTTCGGCAACCGACCCACCAAAGTTCTATAAGTACGGATACGAAAACTCTTGTGGAATAGTACATTCGCTTGATCAATCGAGAATGGGCTTTGAGAGCCAAGCAAATGTTCACTACTGGTGAAATTGTGGGAAATCAGCCCTCAATAAGCTGAAGTCATGCGGCTGACCAGATCGACGTGATCGCCTGGGGGTTGGTCGACCAATAAACCAGAGTCGTAATCCGTTCATGCCACTAAGTAGGATGTCACCATCCACTGCTCAACATCCACGTTTAGTCAGTGAAGTTACCAAAGTGGGTGGTCGTTGGTTAGCTAGGTTCCTGTTCGGAATCAGAATACAACGGATACCAACCCAGAGCCAGCACCCGCCAACCACTCGAAACTAACCAAAGTTATCATCGCACATTAGCCTTCTGGACAGTATTTGATACCCCAATAAAGAAAATAACGACTTGCTAGACACTGGACTGTGTGGTGGATGCAAGCCATTTAGTATCAAGCCTACGAAATATTCTACAACTGCGATCACATCGTTGATGTTGCACGACTAAGGGTTGTCTAGCCGCATAAGAGAAATTCTAAAACGGTGAAGCTCTATAGTTGAGTTTAGCAGTGTAGCTCACTTTTGATATATTACAATGAAATAGCTGTGAAATAAACCAAATCAGCGATGTTGCATAGCATACTGGCTAAGAGCAGGGAACAGTGTTCATGGATTGTTTAAAGAACACTCGGAGATGCGTCTAAGACGATGACTTAGGAATAATTAACCCTGAATTAGCTCTTCAAGCCCAAAAACATTCGAAAGCATTGTTACTTTGATGGAAATAACCATTTTTTAACTATTTGGAATATTTTCTCACCATTAATGTTACTTCATTGCCACCTGGTTGTATGATTACGAAAGTGTAGTTACATCGGTGGTAGTAGTGAAGAGGCACTAGGTAAGGAAACAAGTTGTAAGATGGTAACACCATGTTTTCCGATCATTTTAGACTATCATCACTTGCTTATTCACATGAAAGAAACCGAATATATGTCATCACGCATTCGTTGTATAGGTATGAAGGGTCAGAAAGGCACAGGTGGAGATTTACACAGGGAAACGGAGCGCAATAGCAGGTGTTGATGAAGACTACAGATTGGTTAATGAACTAATGGGTATTAGGCCTTCCAAGAAAATATGGGGTCTAGGCAATGCGTCTTTCGCTCACAGAGAGCAGCGTTGTTGCCACTGTCGCGCAAAACGTTGTATACATCAACATTTGGATCACGTATGTGATTAAGTGAAGCACCAGTCTGGTGATAGGTTTACGTATGCATTTCCAACCCATTTACTCCGGTTCTATTAGAATATGCTCATTCAAACCACACCTTACTCCACATAGATTTTATTTATTAGCAGAATGAACGCTGTAGTATTTACATTCGGAAATGTGTCCGCTTACCAAAGCAGATGCTTCCAAAAGACATACTACCATCCACCTCCCTCCACGTTATTTGCCACACTGTTAGACAACTTAAGCTCTGTACGTGCATTTCACTATATATGCGAACAGCCCCAAGACAGCTGCGAGTTCCAATCACTCTCCTCCCCGTTTTATCCAAATAATGGAACGTATAACTACAGTTGCGCTCATGGGACATCTTGAGAGCAACAACCTTCTAGTGTCACAACAACATAGATTCCGCCGAAACCGATCCTGCACTACAAACTTGCTGCTAGCCCGAACAAGCCGGACAGAGTTAGCCAATGCCAGAGTGGGAGTCGACGTCTTCTACCTGGACTTTTCGAAAGCGTTTGATGGCTTACATCCCCGCATCCTCCTTCACAAGCTTCGAAGCTATAGAATCGGTGACTTTGTGCTCCGTTGGATCGGCAGCTTCCTCATTCAACGTCAGCTGAATTTAAATGTCCGCAGCTGCAATTCCGACCCAATCGACGTCCAGTGTAGCGTGCCCCAAGGATCGCTACCGGGGCCACATTTAATCCTAACATTCGGTAACGAGCTTGCCAGTGTACTGCAGTCGAATTTTTACCGTTTGCGGATGATGTCAAAATTTGGCATGATACCCGGACAGCGGATGATCACATGCCACTGCAGAGCGATCTCGACAAGGCTTATGCGTGGTCATCCGGTAACCGGCTCCCGTACAAAGTGACGAAATGCAAACCCGTAAACATGTGCATCAGCTTATCTATGGATATCGACTTGGGGACCAACCGTTACTACATGATTCCCAAGAAAACGACCTCGGGATGATCGTGCCAAATGAGCTTGGCTGCTAGAAACAGACTGAAAAGGCATCAAAAGAGCCAGTCAACATCTTTGATACTTACGGAGGGCTTTCGGAAAGTTTAAGTCATCAATTTTTCAACAAATGCTGAACCCCTACGTGAGGACCCAGTATGAATATACGATCCAGGCCTGATGTACCTGGCGCAAGCACGACATTAATACACTTGAATCTCCACAACGTACAGCGACCAAATTCGTTAGAGGATTGTTTCATCTCTTCTACCAGCGCAGACTGCAGCCCCTGAGATTGTACAGTGGTGAATACCGACGTCAGCGAGAAGACCTAATCATGGTTTACTTAATACTGACGAACCCAACTCCCCCATGTCTCAATCTTGCAGCTGAGCCAACATACCAAACTGAGAGACCATCAGCTCCAAATGGCTAGGCATTACACTCGACTTGCCTATACACGAAAGGTTTTCTCCCTCCGTGTGTCCCGTGCCTGGAATGTCCTTCCGACACGTTATCCTTGTCCCTACATTAACGCTATTCAAAAACGCCTTGATGAAACGCTTTCCAACTTGCACTACTTGATATAGTCCGTTCCACTTGGAGGACGAAATAACGCGAACCTAACCATGTGCTTAACGGCCCGCTCCGCAACCTGGCGGTGTGGATGCATGCAGAAGTGTCCATGTAAGTAGCATGGATGTATCTAAACTGGATTAGCATACTATATATGTCAAATGAAGAAACAAACGAGTGAGCGTTGTAGCGTCCTTCTTTATTACTCGCGCACTTACTGAGCCATAACAGCTCACCATATTATTTTGCGTGTGCATATCCCATTCCCACTTCAACCTATCGTTATGTAGTAGTGCATTTAACTTGGTGGACGCTTGAAATAACGATTTACTTGTACGATCATCCTACGGAACTTGCCAAGCACATGCTTTTTTACTCGTGATAAATCGTTGTTCATTGAGTGAAGGACCAATGGCGGCTTTAGCTGCATCGTTCGCAACTCTGTTCACGCACTTTCTATTCAGTGTAAATCGCAAAGAATAAAATTAGGAGTCATGTGTAAAGGATCCGCGAATGATTCAGATTGCTTTATAGATTCAGATTGATTCAGTCCTTGCGTATGCACCTCACAGATGTCAACTTGGGAGGAAAGCGGGTGACACGGTGATGGCTGAACCGTGACACGATGCACCCAAGATGGAACCTCACTTCTTGCTTAATATTGTCACGAGGACTATGCAACTCAACGCGACTGCGGCAAACATTGGGCGAATCGTGAGGTCAGTAATCGAGATAGCAACCTCGCACGGATAGGAACCTCAGTAATTATCGCAGTTAGCGCGGCTAGGCTTGAAAATCCAGTGTAATCTTTTAGACAAATATGATAAGCGCATGAAGGTACAGTGCATCCTATCACCATACCTGCAATTGCCCTGACAACAATGGTAGAAATAGTAAAACAATAATAATTCTTGAAGATAGGGAAGATGGATCAATGGAGCAGTAATGTAGTACAGGTAGAAGAACATTGCTTAATAGGTCCCCTGTAACAAAAGTTATTTATAAACTAATACTTCATGTTAGATTGAAAAGTGGTGGACTCACCAGTGGATTCTTATTGAGACAGTTGTAAAAGAGCCGAGATATTTCACTGGTTGGAATTTTGGAAACGCACTGTTTGTTTGCGTTGTATAGTCTCCTGGCTAACACATTATACAATGAAACCCGAAAAAGACAATCCTTCGTCAATTTGTTTTTAAGTATCGTTACATTCGGGGCAGAAACAACGTAAATTTAGAGAGTATTCTACAGCTGACACAATCGGAGTGAGATGCAATTTTTACGACCTTCTAGCCAGCTATACTCTATTGTCCGCTTCAAGGGATAACCTATTAAGCTAGTGTTGCTGTTCAATTTCAGCAGCAGGCAGCAAAGGATTTCGGGTTCTTCAAGATCTGGTAAACCATCATGAGTTCCCGCGCAATCACCGATATTGACTTCTGTACATTTCTAGGGACTTCCATCTTGTCTGATGAAGTAGATGGAAGAAGGGCTTAGAGTGTTTGCTTGCACTTCGTTGAGAAGTCCAAAGAGCAGTGAGACCTTGCTTCTGCCACGGGTGCCACGCCCTGATGGCGTATTCCACGTGTGCTCACATGTAGGCGATAGCATTTGTGGAAAGATTGCGTGGTCAAACCGACCGAACGTTCTGCGAAGAAGGCCACAGTGTTGGTTAGCGATTGGTGAAGCCATCTCTGCTTTTTTTAGTATCCAAGATCATCCTGTAACAATATACCCAGGTCATGCTCCTCAGAGTTCAACTGTAAGGTATGGCCTCTAAGATTGTAAACGCTCAACAACTAATGACGCAGGTGGATCATCTTGCATTTAGCTGTGTTGGACTAGAGTAGGTTCTTCGTTGACAATTCCTGAAGGCGATCCAGGACATGCTGGAGCAACTCATAATCTTCCTGGTTCTTAATCGTTAGTCATGTCTTAACGTCATCAGCGTGCAGCAGGGCATTAGAGCAACTACATCCTGCCAGGTCTTTGTTAAACACCATAACTAGGCGTGGTCGCAACATCGA